TGCATTAGAAATTGATATCTTTGAAGTCCAGGCCAGGAAAGAAAGACACTGACTTACATTTTCCCTTGTAAGAGTAGGCTTCAATTTTCTGTGCAAGGAAACCCAAATACGGTGGCTTAAATTAGAACATTTTATCATCTTGTGTAAAAACTGGAGGTCAGCATCCAAGGGGGATACGCATTCGTCAGAAACCCAGGCTTACCTCAGTTTTCTTCTCTGCCATCCCTTTAGAAGTAGTGTGTGTGGGCCAAGATGTTTGCTGAAGTGCCAGTTATTATCCACATCAACAGAAAGAAGGAAAAAGAAAAATCATGCCTTCTCCCTTTTAGGACAGTTTTCAAAGTTGTACATACTACTTCTATTTAAATGCACTGGCCAGAATTTGATCATATATTTGTACCTAACTTTAAAGGTGACTAAGAAATGTAATCTTCATTCTAGGGACCCATAAATCCAATGAAATCAGTAGGTTTTATAATAGAAAAAAAGGGGGAAAAAAGGCAAAGTCCCAGCCATCTCTATGTTTAAAAAGACCCTCTAGGTGTGTTTTAAATTCTACATTTCCGACTTGCCTCTTACTTATACAATTGACTTGAGTAATGACTTCACATGGTTTCGGTATAACCAGTCTAATAGTCACGCAATAGCTTATGTTAAAGCAATACTAATATTGTGTGATGGAAAATCTTGATGTATTCTCGTGTGTATGAGATCTTTTCTCATGTGTACAGCTCATTTTTCCTTTAGTTCTCATCCCTGACAGTAAGAATATCTTCAAACTGTTTTTCTTTCACTTGTCTTTCTCCCAGGTGTGATCTAACAATTCTTTTCCCCAACCCTTCTTTAGTCTTCTGAGGCTATGTTTTGGTTTTTAATAAAAATTAGCCCTTGTAAAATGTACGTGATTAATCAACTTTGATTATTTAAAAAACGTTATTATTTTTCATTGGGGATAAACTGGAAATAGGATAGTTATGGTGATATATGACTGGAGATATAAAATAGTGCAAATTTTTCAATTTATGGAAGAGGTATCTTTAATTTTTGCAGGCTTAAATCTGTCTCTCAAGCATCAATATCATGCAGGGTAGATGAGCAATATCAAGCGGATCTGCTGGTGCATGTGTTTCCCTTGCTTTTCAATGTGAACTTTGCATCCTGAAGTTCTTCAGCTTTTAAGGCTGCACTTACTTTGAATAATAATGAGAGTGGTAGTAGTGATAATAAAAACATCAGCATCCTTCCCACATGCATAGAACATGTAATTTCTTGTAATGCTCCCCATCGACTTGTGCCTAGATGTTCCCCCAAAACATCATGCACTCATAGGTGGGGTTTTTCAGAGCTGGCTGGATCTAGAGTGTGTGGCACTGGAATTGATTCATGGTGCAATGGTAGGATCAAGGGCACTAGGATTAAGGGTGTGACTGCTACCTGACCTAAGTAGAATGGAGAATATATAAGGGATAGAAAAAGCTGTGGTTGACCCTTGTTATTTTGCTACCTTCTGCCCACCGTAAACTGTCTCTCTTTTGCAATACCTGTCTGCTGTGCCACCCTGCCTTGGGGCAGTGGATTATGGACTGAAACCTCTACAAACTGGGAGCTCAGTAAACATTCCCTCCTTTAACTTTGGGTGTTGGGTATTATGTCCCGGCCATAAAAAAGAAACTAAGACACACCCCAAACATAATTCCTTAGAATAGCCAAGACTTCACAAATCTGTACTGGTTGTGGTGTCTTCCCCCGGTTGGCCATTGAGTTCCATGTGGCTTCTCTGAGCTTGGGCATGCCTTGTGTTGTCTTATAACCAGATTCGTATGGTTTTTTGGCTTAACTGAAACTTACTTGTTCCACTGCGGACACAGTCGCCTTCCTTCACCCCCAAAATCCTCAGTGCGGATGGGCTGCAATGGTTCACAAAGCAACTGAGGGCTTGAGAAACACAAAGCAAACAGGGAAAGGAAAAGCTCGAGATATCTCACCATACACTGCTCCTCCTGGAGCTCACTTCTACGTGGCCACTAGAAAGGAAATTTTCTCTGGACTGATTTTCTGAACAGATCTTTGCAAGTAGCTTCTCTCCCATATCAGTAACTTGTCCATAGTTGGTGAAGGTACCCGCCCACAGCACCCCCACCCACAACAGCTCTGCAGACAACCAAGTACACAGTGGTCTAGAGAAAGTGGGTAATATAATTTATTTTCTCTTTTAATACTATAAAATACACTTTTTATTTGTTTGCTTTGTCTTGCATTAAAAAATAGTACAATTTAAATTAAGGAAAGCTTTCACCGAGATGCCAGACTATTGTTTATAATACAGTACCAGCAAACTTACTGGCAAGGCTTAGTTTTGTCACGCACTTTTGCCTTGGTGCTAAACTTGGTGAACTGGGAATGTGCCCATGGGTGTTTTAAGAAGTGTGGGGTATAGAGCAGATGAGCTTTGGCTTTATCTCTTTCTCTGCCTCATGGGGACAGAACCTAAATTATAAATAAAGAGCAAAATAAAAGATAGACAATAGGATCTAGGGAGGTAGATCTTTCTCAGATGGGAAGGGGGTCAAGAAACGGAGGGAGGGGATAAAAATAGAGTGAAGATGTGTCCTGCGCACGTGCCAGCCCCACATAAGGAGCGCTAGCAATGCGCACCACCCACGCTCCGTGCCGTGGGCACCCTCTGCGGCCCACAGTGCACTGCCTTGCCACAGCGGGCCTGTCCGCAGCGCACAGCATCTGCTGCTCACACTGCTGGTAGCCCCCCACCCCCCCCTCACCACGGCCTCCACAGTTATTTCCCTGTGTCACTCTCTCTTTTTCTCCACTTTCTATCCTCCTAGTTGTTTACATTTCATTCACTGTGCTCATGTTTCTTGGATAATGAGATGCATAAGTACTGTATGCGGTGAGAATTTCCCTTCCATTTTACGGCCATAGAATGAGTTAAGGTCCTCAGCATCCCTGGTCCCTTCATTTGATGTTGAGTTTCTCAGAAACTGGTTCTTTACTGCCCAGAGGATTTTGCTTTATTTTGTTCAAATTTCGGAGCCCTTTTTGAATCTGGAACTGCTCCAGAAGTTTAATGGCTCTAGAGGACCTGCATTAGCACAGCCAGAGTTTTTCTGTACATCAGTTACAATAATAGTGTTTAGTATTCAACGTGTGCAACATAGCAGAATGTACAGAGCTGAACTAGGGGCTGTATTTTCCAGGAAGTCTCAACCCAATCCTGGGAAAAGATATGTCAAAAAGCTGCAACTCTTTGCTATCCGCAATAGATTTTGGGGGTAGTGTAAGTCTGTTAAAAATAATCTAGGGTTTAATATTATCTGTCAAGAAGATGCAAAGTTTTAGGAAACATTCTGGATATAATGGGAGAAAATGAGACATACTGGGAGAAAAGGATGCAATAGCTGAGAACTATTTGCAAGCAACAAAAATCCAACTAAAACTGACTTAAGGGAACAGAAGTTTCATTGGTTTTGTGAACAGAGCGAATGAGGTTAGGCGGCCTCAGGGCCATCTCTGCAGCTCCCTTCTTTGTTCTCCTTTGTCTGACAGTGCTCTTCTCTTTGCAGAGATTTCTCACTACACAGCAGGACCATGTCCTTCATGACTTCTTCACTGTTTCAGATTCTTGTCTTATTGATCTTTGCATCTCAGCGGCTACTGAGGAACAGCTGTCCACTTTACCTCCCCGCTTTGATGCATAGAAATTCCAGTGAAAGACTCTGATTGGCTGTTACGATCGTAAGCCTGCGGCACTGCTGTTTATCTGGCTAGATTTGTCCTGGCCTGTCCCTGGCCCATCCCTGTGCCAGGTGGAATGTTTTTGTTGGTGTGTGGCTTGGGTGAGGCACTGCGACTATCAATTCCCCCAAATTACATTATTTTTTGAAAGGAGTAGAAACAGTTGCTTGGAAAAGGAAAAGGGAATGTAAGATACCTGACGTTAGCTATAGGGATAAAAAAGGGAGTTTTAAAAATTTTTCAAATTCACAAACAAAGCAGTTGGAAAGTAGAATAATAATATACAAAACACAGGAAATAAAAGCACTAATTTGACGTGAGGATATGAAATTAAAATGATAGTCATGATAAAAATATTTGAAGATTATCAAAGATGCTTGAAGTTGTTAAGCACTGTAAAGCAGCTGATAGTGAGATGTATTCTGAAAGGTATCGTGAACTAAAGCAGGTATGATGTGAGGACCAGAGAGCAGTGCATTGAGGGATAAATGAAAAATAAAATTTCACAAGCACCTGGTTGAAATTTCATCTACTCGGAGTCTTAGTGTGGCATTGCGCGGGTTTTCTGCAAGTCTCACCTTTCAGAGTGGACAAAGACATTGTACAAGAAAGGAATGGAGTGGAGGTGTGAGTTTTTTCTGGGAAGCTACAGCTTCAGAGGTTTAACATCTGGAAAGTGCAGTACTGATCTCAGCCAGGATTACTCACCGTGATCCAACCAGCCAGCCACAGGCAGTGTGAAGACCAGAGGAAATTTCCACAGAGGACACAAAACAGCCTCCTCTGGACAGAGGCGTTTGCCAATGTCAGGAGTCCCTCCAACCACACAATACAGGGAAGTGTGTCCTGTGTTCGGTACTTAAAGGTCCCGAAGGTCATGGATTATTCTTTCCTAAGGAAATAAACAGTTGGAAATCAAATGAAGTGAAAGGAAAATTACTCAGTACTTCTTTAGAGTTCCTCGTTAGATAAATCCATGGCCATAATCTCTGGAAAAGATAAAAACTGTTATAAATATTCACTCCTTTCTACATTCTTCACTGATGTAAGATGCTCATCTGGAGCTCGACCTACCTTCTAGATATAGTAAACAGTCTGCTTCTATGCTGGTGGATTAGTGTATTAAGATAGAAAGACAGTGGGCTTCCAATCTTACTTTACCACTTAACTGTGACGTAGTAATTTGACTTTTTGAACCTCAATTTCCTCACTTTGGACAATGGAGAAATTTGGTACTAAGGTCCTAGACATTTTAAAAGCTGGTGTACTTTCTCCCAACTGACAATGCTTCCCCTTTAACAGGTGGAAATTAACTAGATGAAGGTACATGAAACCACTGTATAAGGTATAGACAGGAGGGGGCTTGACAGCGTCTAAGCACCTGCTGTGACTCTGGTGTGTGGGACACAAGGACGACAAAGACATAGTCTGTACAGCAATGTGGTAGGCAGACTGATGGCCCTCCAAAATGTCTGCATGTGGATTCTCTAGTTAAGGTAGTGTCTTGCGACGGGAAGATTATCCTGGTTATTTGAATGCGCAAGCAGCGCAGGACAGTCAGACTCAGGCAGAAGGAGACGTGAAAACAGAAGCACAGATCAGGATGACATGAGGAAGAGAGCGTAAGTGAAGGGAAGCAGAGCTGGAAAAGGCAAAGCTATGCATTCTCCTCCTTCCAGAATGATAAGGTAATGCATACTGATTTCTTAGTACCCTAAATTTGTGGTACTTTCTAACAGCAACAATGGGTAACTCACACATGTGGCTTCTCTGTATGAGACGAAGATGCCTACCAGTAGAGAATTTCAGTTCAATGTGGTACAGGCCATGACAGGTGGTTGCAGGGTGCTCCGGGAGGACCGGTGTGTGTGTGTGTGTGTGTGGTAGGGCTGTTTACAGGAGGCTTTCTGAAGCGGAAGAGCTCCGTCATGAAGATGCCCTTTCTTGTCTGTGAATTTCAGTGCCTCTTTGCTGCTTTTTCTATCAGCCAAGTCCTAGGTACCAGACCTGCCCTTCGGGTCTTTTCTCTGCCTTGACTCCCCCTTTAGCTACCTCTGTACCTTTTCTTCTAAAAATGTTCTTTGATGGAGTTGCACATGACTAGAGCGGTGCTGTTTCTACCCCCACTTCCCTTTCCTTCCTCTGTGCGTCCTAACTCCCACCATCCTCTTCCTTCTGAGCTGCGTTCCCTGAGGCCCGGGAGTCCCTAAGTATCAAAGTGTCTAACTTCATCTCCTTCCTGACCTCATGGCATCACTGACCCTGCTGAGTTCTTCCTCCATCGGAAGTTTTCTCTCCTTCCAATTCCAATTTCATGTACACTTCACTGTTTGCCCCTGTGGGGGGAGGGAAAGGGAGGAGGAAGGGAGGGGAGAGGAGGAGGCAAGGGAGGAGGAAGGGCAATGAGGGTGAGGTCACAAAGGATTGGTGTGGGTTGCTGAAGCAGGAACTTAGGAGGACGAGGAGGAAGGCCGTGCGGAGTGGTAGGGCTTGAATGCTGCGGAGAGCCATTGAAAGGTCCTGGATAAGAGACTGACACGGGTACGTTTTCATTTGAGGAACATTTCTTGATAGTGCGTGGAGGACGAATTTGAAGAGAACACTGTCTGAGTCAGGAAAGACTCTTAGGAGAGCCCCTCACTTATAAAAAGAGAACTGTAAATATTGACGCCTCTCAGGGTTTTATGATTTGACTAAAAATTGGAAGAAATTCCTTCCAAGACTACAAAGGCATCATACAAATGTGGATTCCTGTTTTGTATGTAGACTGCATAAAAATATGCTTTGTTCTCAGGAAGCGGTATATTTCTGTTTGTTTTCTTGTGTGGAATTGGGAATACTTGAGCTGGAAGTAATCTTAGAGACTTAGCTGACGTGATCACTTTATTTACACACTAGAACTCGAGACTGGGAGAACGTAAAGCAACCTGCCAGCATCATGTACGGAGGAGAACCGGGAATGGGGTGAGGGCTGACCCTCAGAACTCAGGACTTTCTCAGTACGACAAGCTTTTCAAGCTGTTTCATTCATCCTGTGAGACGATGGTGAGGTGGAGGAGAACTCATTGCGAAAGGACTTTGAAAAAATGGGAAAAGAGAATCAGGAAATCTGAGAAAATTTGAAGAGTGCGTGGTAGGGCTGTTTAGAGGAGGTTCATCTGTCCCTTCACTGCGCATTTTGATATTTTAAAGTTTCTCAGAAACCCTGTACTAAAGAAACTCATCTGACTTTGTTAGCTTCTTATTTCTCAGACTTTTTTGGCCATATCAGTAGTTTCATGTGCTGCTCTGCAGAACCTTTCCCGTCCTTTCTGCAACATTTCCTTCTTCGTTCCCTCTCTCTTTCCTCCTCTCTACAGGTTTGTCCACATCAGTCCCAACAGTGGCTGAGGTACATACTTGAGTTATCATTCAAAGAACCTCAGTAAGAGGAGAGACATTTATTTATGTTTACTAATTTCACTTCGTTAGTGTGAACTTTACCTCTTATTTTATTTAAAATAAATCAGTGTTTTCTTTCTTTTTTATTTTGTGGAAAAAATGTAAAACAAAATTTAATAACAAAATAATAGGAGAATGACAACTGCTAAATCAGTGTTTTCTATTTGCCTTCTCCACATCAATCAGTTGGCTGAAGAGATATTTACTCCAGTCAGGAATTGGTATGCCTTAACTCAAGTTAAGAAACAGGATATATTTTGGGGTATAAATATTTCCTGGCTGTAAATGTATATAAGGTATATTGCCCACAGTTAGGGTTACCCTATAGCCCTCGCTAATCATATCATTTATACCGGATGCTGGCATGATTTTTTCATGATTCTTGTGCAGTCTTCTCAAGTGAGCAGGGTATCCAACTTATCCCCATGTTATAAATGAGCATCCATCTATAGAGTAAGGAGAAAGTGACTACCATCAATGACCAGTGATGGCCACTGGGAGAGAAGATGGATTTCCTCACTACTGACAGAAGAAAATGTGGATTTGAATACCTGCAAGATGGTTCATAAAGCAGTTCTCAGATCCACATTCCTAAATAGTTGGCTTACATGATTTTGGATACTGAAAATTTCCAACATCTCCACGTACCTGGCAGGAAGGGACCTGCCGGGGGGTGGAGAGGCTGATGCAGCAACTAAGTGAACGCGCACGCTTCCTCCTTCTTGGGGAGCCTCTGGCTTTTTATTCGTAAGGCCAGAACCCGAGTAGGTGAGGCATAACTCTACAGTGGAGACGAATCGGCCTTATTCAAAGTATCCTAATTTTAAACATCACCTTAAACACTTTAACAGCAATATTTAGGCTGGTGCTTGATCAAATATGCTGGTACTGTGGCCTAGCCAACTCCACACACAAAATTAACCACCGTGGCAATTACGGGTGCTCACATGGGAGTTGATTCTCAAGCTCGACTGTCTGGAGTGTAAGAGTGCCCTGTCTGTTTCCTAGGAAGGAAACAGAAGAGGCGAGGAACTAATGCAGACAGCATTGGATAGAGAGACGGCTGTCATTCTAAAAGCTTGGGTCAGACTGGCTTCAAATGAGATATTCTATTTGAAGGACAAGTATCTTCCTGAAAGTCTATGGTTACTACCCAACCCTAAAGACCATCGGAGCTGGGCTGGCCCTATAGTTTTCTAGGTCTGTCTCTATAATAAGCAGATTGGAGGGGAATGGATGAAGGTCTATGATAAGGGGCTTTCTCTTTTTTATTTTTATTTGTTGGTACCGGAAATCGGACTCAGGACCTTGTGCTTGCCAGGGAGGTGCTGTGCCACTGAGCTACCTCCCGGCTCCAGACAGACAGCTTGAATTTACTTCTCCTCTCTAGCTGAAGCTCTGTGTTCTTTGACCAGTATCTCCCTGGATGCTTCCCAGGGGCGTCCCTTTTGCCAGCCCCTGATAAGCACCCGTATGTTACCCACTCCTGTCAACTCACCTCGGTGAGATTCTGCATGGAAGAGAGATTTTTCTTTCTCTGACTCATTTCACTTAACATAATTTCCTTCGGGTTTATCCATGTTATCACAAACTCAGGATTTCCTTGTTTTTAAAGGCTGCCTAGTATTTCATTGTGTATATATCACATTTTCTTGATCTATTTATCTGTTGATAGACACTTATGTTGATCCAACAGCTTCAGTATTGTTGATAGTGATGTAATGAACATGGGTGTGCAGGTATCACCTTACCACATGGATTTTATATCATATCTATACATAAAACTGGACTGCTGGCTCATATTTCAGTTCTATTTTTAATTTTTAGAGAAGCCACCATACTTTTCCATAACGGCTGTACTAATTTACACTTACACCGACAGTGTACAGGGTTTTCTTCTCTCCACAGCCTTGCCAACTCTGCTGTTTTTTTGATAATTTCCATTATAATAGGTGTGAGGTGATGTATCTTTATAGTGTTGATTTGTAATGTTGAGCATCTTCTCATAGGCCATTTGTACATCATCTTTAAAGAACTGCCTATTTAGCCCCTTTGTGATATTTTATTAACTTTATTATTTATTTTATTAAATTTATATTTATTAATATTTTATTAAATTTATTTTATGTCATATAAAAATGTAGAAATTATACATAGTAACAGGGTAACATGATGTTTTATTGTATGTATCTGTTGTGTAATATTTAACCCAACTTAAATATATCTGTCTATTCAAATATTTATTGTTTCTTTATAGTTAACAGCTTTCAAAATCCTTCATTGTAGATTCTGGTTCTTTTGTTCTCACTTTTTATTTAAATTTTTATTTTGATTAGTACGTGTTTTCAGTACACCATGATTACACTCACTGTGAGGAATAGGTACATGTACACAACACATCTTAGTTCATTTTACTTTCCCTTTCTCCTCCTTTCTTTTTCTTTT